TTTCTCCTCCCACGGAGAATTTGGTTAGGTGGGTGCCAGCAACACCACCATCCTTCCCCTCCCAGACTTAGCGGAGGATTTCAAGAACCCGTTCGTAAGTGGCTATATACTGTGAGATAAATGCCTCCATGTCCCCTGGAAGCTGCTCTCCCTCTGGGATATTGCGCATTTATAGTCTGGCACTGTTCCACTTTTACAAGGTACTCCCAATAGTCCTAAGGAAGGAGAGTGAATTTTTCAGGAGCAAGCTCCAAAATAGCTGCATATCCTTGCAAACAGGGTGGCTGGAACATTTGTGGAGGCATCTAAACCTGCAGAAGTTGTAGGGATGGTCATGTGTCTTTTTTCTTTCCTCTGTTAAGCAGAGGACAACCCTCTAGATATGATGGCCTACATTCCCCATCAGCCTTAGCCAGCATAGCCAATGGCAAGAGCTGAGGGTTGTAATCCAACAGAATCTGGAGGGCCACATTTTCCCACCCCTGCTATGGAGCTCAGAGAGGGGAGAGGAAAAAGGAATTGCAAACACCATCATCCCAGGATGGACTCGATGTTCTATACAATCTCATCATTTTCCATTCCACTTTGATAAGCCAAAACTTCCAATGTGCCCAAAGTTCTAAACCCCCAACTTGCTGGAACTCTACAAGCTCTTCTTGGGGTCAGTCTGCACACCCCATTTCTCACAAATGAAATGTCTGTTTGGGAAGGGGATGGAAGACTAGAAAGGTATATAATTCTGAGCTGTTAACCGAACCAAACCGAACCGAACCGAACCGAACCAGACAAGACCAAGACCAAGACCAAGACCAAGACCAAGACCAAGACCAAGACCAAGCCTCAATGGGATTTTCAAGGAAAGCAAAGGATATTGTGAACAAATAAGAGTGGACCCAGACAGGAGCTGTCCATAAGAAGTAGGCCCCAAACTGAGCCTTCTCCAGCCCTACCTGGGCAGCTGGGAAAGCTGCAAAGTCTTCCGAACAAGAGCAAAAGCAGCTGCCTAGCAAGGGAGTCACCTGCACTGCTCAAAGATTAGACCTCTTCTCCAGGCGGCTGTGCTCAGCTTGCGCATTTGCAACCTGCTGTGAGTAGTTATTGCTTTTCCACCAGCACAAGCCATCTCCCCGATAGTAATAGTGTGTGTGTGTATATATATATATATGCGCATGCTAAAAGGGATTAGAGAAGGGACCTTCATTTGCTTGATTTTCAAGGGCCTCCCTATCTTCCCCAAGCAGTCCTGGCTCCTTGCGACTCCTTCAAAGAGACCCTCTCCAGGAAGTCCAAGGCGTCCCTTTCCTCTTGCCTTATCGGTGTCCCTCAGCCTGTCTCATTTGCCTAATGGCAGCTTGGTATCTGACACAAGACACATGGTGCACCTGCAGCCGACGGCCACGGGTGAGCTCTCCAAAAGAAACTTTCTGTGTTCCTTCTACTTGTTAGTTCCGAGCGCCAGAAATCATCTGACATCCTTGTGCCGGCATCTCTGGATTTAACCTGAGACAAGTGCAGTTCACCCCCAATTATGCGCTTGCTTTTTTTGCTTATTTATTTACATTGCAATTTATATCCTGCCTTGTTCCTACAAAGGGCTCAAGGCAGCTTGCATCATTCGCCTCCTCCATCTTCTCCCCACAACAACAGCCCGGTGAGGTAGGTTGGGCTGAGAGTCTGTGACTGGCCCAGAGTCACCCAGTGGGCTCCATGGCTGAGTGGGGACTCGAACCCGGATCTCCTGAGTCCCAGTCCCATGCCATTAACCACTACACCACACTGCCTCTCAACCAATTATGTGCTGGTTTGCCTTATGCGAGGGAGGGTGGTTGCGTCATTCATCCAGAAACTTAGGTCTTGACAGGGAAGGACTGGAGGCTCAGGACCACAGAGGCTCATTTCCCTAACAGGCCAGGAATCTGCACATCACCATTTGAGGAATGGCAGCCCTGGGTGGAAGTGAGGGGTGCAGAAAACCTGCACCTGGAATTATCCAGGTTAGGGGAATCAACGGCTATGAGAGCTTTGGAAACTAGCCAGTCAAGCCAAGTGGCTGCAGCCCTGGAAATGCTACCAACCCATTTCATTGGTGGTTATTCCTGAGTAATATGCATAGCATTGCACCATTATTTTAAATGCTTGACTGCAAAAGTTACCCTAGGCCAGTGATGGTGAACCCTTAAAGACCGAGTGTCCAAACTGCAACCCAAAACCCACTTATTTATCGCAAAGTGGCCACACTGCAATAAAACCTGAAAACTGAGGTTTTCGTTCAGAAAAAACAACTCAGCAAGGCTAAGCAGACATAGCTACATCCTTGGCAGCACGCAGACCGGCCATGCAAAAGCTCGGACGAGCGGCGGCTCAGAGGCTCGTGATGTCATTTCCTGGCGCCATTTCCTTTCCAAGCATGCGCATGGCCCCTATGTGCGCTGTTATCCGATGCTCGGCTGCTGGGGTGACTTGGCCTGCCTACTGACAGAGAGGGCTCTGCGTGCCTGCTGCAGCACACGTGCCATTGGTTCGCCACCACTGCCCTAGCGAATCTCCCAGCAGATCTTTAATAGGCAGGCAAGTGAGTCCTGCAGTCAAATATTGCGATACCAATGCAGCCCTGCCCGTCTCTTCCACTCCCCAACAGCAGTGCATTGGATTCTCATTTGCCACAGAGCACGCTCATGTTCATGAGCTGGTATCAAGGCTCCCCCCGTGCTCAAGAAAGATTTTTTTCTGCATGAGTTTTTGTCCAGCTGGAAACCTCAGACTCAGACCTCGAGCCTGCTGACTTGAGAGTAAGAGTTTATAAAAACTCCAGATGACAAGATCATTCTTGTTCCTGCTCACCGGTTTTAGATCTGTGTATGCTCCAGTGTGTGCTGACAGTTTATGTTTGTGGGTATATACTTTTTCATCATGCATATTGAAGGTTTTAGTCTTTGTAAACTGCCTGGAGAGCTGCAGCTTTTGGGAAGTATGGAAATACCATAAAGCTAGAGTTCCCCCTTTTCTCACAGGAGGGACTGCCCCCCTTTGTCTGCAGGGGCCATGTCTGTCTGTCTGTCTGTCTTTCTAAAGGCTTTGTGTATATGTAACCGATTCAACCGATCGCTTGGCCAACAGCACAATTCCGTACACATTGTTGTTCAGGAGCAAGGGTCACTGTCTTCCGCAGGGGCTTAGTGCCTAGTAAGCATGTTTAGAATGGCAATGTAAAAGATGCAATTCACTTGCTTGGAATTAAATCTCATTAGGTTAATCAGGGCTAGACCTTTTCTATACAAGGCATTCGTGCATTCGCCATTGTTTGCTCACAGTTGTTTACCATTTCTTCAGACGATGTCACGGCCCTCTGGGTTCAACTTCTGCCTTTCAAACAGCATTTTGAAAATGTCTTTTATGAGCAGTGGAAATGTGGTATGATTTAAAGAAAGTGAAAGGAGACTATTTACACTGGTGTACGTGTAGTATTTGGACTATACCACAGTGCCACCTAGAGGTCATGCCACAGAAAAACAGCAAAGGAGATGCTTTTTGTGTGGCACTTGGATCTCAGTTCCGTGACACCAGAAATAGGCACACATTTCTCAGACACACATTGCTGAGAAACAGTAAATTACTGTTACTAGAGTTTTCTATTACTCTAGTAACAGTAATAGAAAAACTGTTACTCCAGGAATGCTCTCACACAGTCGCACCCCACTCATGGGTTAATTTTCATCAACACCATGATAGGGCGGAAAGGGCTACTCCCCCACCCCCCAGTAAGCTATGCTTCCAAGTTTGAAAAATGAAAACACATGTATCCATTTCTGTTATTTTGAAGACAAGACCACAATAAAAATACGCTAAGTGCATTTAAACATTTATCAGTTGAGTTTTTAGGTGGATTGGACCAGAAGTGGCCAAGTTGCCATCTCCCAGATACCGTAACCTACAACTCCCATCTATTCTGGCCTAGGTAACCCATGGTGAGGGATCGGAAGGTCAGAAGAAGCTCAACTCTGTAGACAATTCATAGAAAAACCTTCCCAACCCAGTGCCCTCAAGATGCCTTGGGCTACCACTCTTATCAGTCCCAGCCAGAACTGTCAATGCCCGGGGACGATGGGAACTGAGGGCAAAAGTATCCAGAGGGCATGAGGTTGGGAGATGTCATTGGGATAGTGTCCTGCAACAGCCGGGGTTGGACTAGATGGCCTCCATGGTCCCTTCCAACTCTACTATTCTATGATTCCATGAACGTCTTCTCCAGGGAGTCTGCTTTTCTTGGACCAAACGGTGGACCCAAGGGGGCAGGTGGGTAGAGCTGCCATAGCCCCCTTTGGTCAAGGCAGACCCAGATTCAAGTTGATCCTCAGCCATAAAACTTACCAGGTCACAGCATAATCCATTAGGTGGGGCTTATTCCCCAGAAAGCAGAACGATAGGATTGCTACCTTCATTGTGCTCACCTGCCCAGAGAAGTTGTGGGCTCTCCCTCACTGGAGCCATTCAAGAAGAACCTGGGCAGCCATCCGAATGGGATGGTGTGACCTGGTGTCCTGCAACAGCAGGGGTTGGACTTGGTGGCCTTCACGGCCCCTTCCAGCTCTTCCATTCTACGATTCTATGCTGACATGCAATTTCTCACCAAAGGAGCCTAACATTCCAGAGGTCATATCCCAAATTCCAGCTGCTGAGGGGTTTTGTCCCCTCATCCTGCTCCTGCGTCTCCCACCGGGACATCAGGATGACAACTACAGAAAGCAGGACTCTGGACTTGATGGACCTCGGATCCGATCCAGCTGTTTTCTTGCGTTTTTCTGAACCCAGAAGCTACTGGGAAGTGCTGCCTTGGTTTGCATGCACAGCCAACACGCATCCCCAGAAATAAATTAGAAACACTTACGCATCTATCGCTGTATCTGCTTTGGACAGGCCTATTCAGCGGCGTCGGCTTCACACATTTACATGGGCACTGTATTAATCTTCACTCCTGGTGGTGGAGCTCTGGTGCCCCCTGCTGCTTGCTGTGCTCAGAAATGCCTTTGCAGGCCACACCACTGCACCAGAAGTGGGAAAAGCAACCTCTGGATTTTGGCTGGATTTCAGTCCAGATGTGTGAACAGGTTTCCCTTTGGTGGGGACGACAAATTACAAAGAACTGCTAGGAGAGGCTGCAAGGAAGGCTTCAGCAAATCCGAGACTTGTTGATGAAGATCTTGCCCATCGCCTTTTTGGTTATTGCTGTTCAGAAATACAGTGGGAGATGACTGCAAAAGAAAAAGAAACCAAACACCTTGTTACGAGATGAGGAATGCATGGCTCAGAAAGACTGCAAGTGAGAAGGATCTTGGAATTGAAGATCGCAGGCTGAATATACAACAAGGTGGGGCTACAAAAAGGGTACATGGCTTTCAGGCTGCATGAATCGATCCTAAGATGAAGTTACCCACCCGCCTCCCCACCAAGCCTCCCATATCTTTGGCTTCTTCCCCACACCACTTGGCACCCCGTTGCTCTGCTCTTCTTCCTGCCTGTGGGCTTTGTTCCTTCAGCCCCACCACCCTCAACCAGCAGAAAATCTCCCACACCCCCAAAGTTCTCTGCCATTTCTCCCTTGCTGCCCTCCATGAACCTTCCCAATGCCCGTGTGCTGCCCCCTCTCTTGCTTCCTTCACACCCCCTCCAAAAAAGCAGCTTTTCTGGAACATGTTTGCCATAACCTCCTAACCTCAGTTACCCTGCTGAGAAAACGTCAGTGCTTCCCTACTGCCCATCTCTGCAGTGAAGCTGAGATTGGATTTGGGGACTCAAGACCAGCAGGCTAAATGACCACCAAGGTGATGGGGACACGGGTCAAAAGGCCTGACTGTAGCCCTTCAACGACCACAGGTATGCCAGAATCCAACAAGGCTCACGGCCCAACAAAGCCAGTGCTCCTTGTTCTTTTCAAAATCGTTGTATGCTTGGGAGCAGCTGAGCAGGCATTCCTGTACAATAATAGAGACACTCATTCTTTCATTTATTCTTTAAAAATCCTTCCCCCTCCCACACACATGAACAACGAAACAGTGCTTATTTCCCAGTAAATGTATTTAGCATCAGGACAGAGGAGGCAAATTCCATTTTATTCCTGTAATGATGCCGGTGCTATCATTTAAGTAAGTTTGGCAGGTGATACTGCACACGCTCAGAGCATTTCTGTTGCTTTTGTCAGGTTTGGCAAATGGGATGTTGTTGGCTTTGCTTTTGCTCTGCTGTATCCAGCACACAGAAGATGCCGTGAGGGGAATCGATGGCAGTGGGGGAGGGGAAGAGATGCATGGCTCATCGTCTCCCAAACATGGGAGAGTGGAAGACCAGGATCTAAAGTTACCATCCAACCGGCTTCATGGTGTCCCTTCTTCTTCCGCCTCTTGTGCTCAATCTCGGAAGGAAAGCCAAAGGGAGGGATCCCTCAGGAAGTAAGAGCATCGTTGTGGGCAATGACATGGCATGTGGAAGCTGAGTGCAGGGAGTTCATGCTGAATCCAGGAGTAGCCAGGAAGCCCATGTGGGACCTTCAGAGTGATCAAGGAGAAGAGGAGGAGAAGGATGGTGAGAAGGGACCAAGATGAGCTAGAGAAGACACTGGCCATAGCCAAGGTGAATGATCACCAGAATGAGAAACAGACCTCCTCCCAAGTGGGCAGAGAGGAAGGACTTACTGTGATGTTGTAAACGGAGATATGGCCGAACTTGGTCCTGAATTGAGCATGAGAAATAAAGGAGAGAAAGAAGTTTTAAAAATTGATATTAAAAAACAATCACTAAGTAGTTAAGTATGTCAATTACAAAATCTGATATAAATGCCCAAGAGGCTTCCCCAATCAGCAAATCATTTTAAAAGAAAGAGAAGTAGTTAATTGCTTTTAACAGGAGCGGTTAGGGAAAACGGTCAATGGCAGAGTCCATCTTGGAAGAGGTAGCCCTCATATCTCATGCTTATGGAAAGCCTCTTCTCTGATTCCTGCCATGGTGAACATCACCATGTAGCACAGGTGGGTGACCGGTACCTGCTTAGAAAAGGATGCCTTTTCTAAGAAAAGGGGAGGGAGAAACCCAAAAGAAGCATTCTCCTTTCTTCCTCACACAGGACAGAAAACTGCTTTCCAACGGGCGGCATAGCATGCTGCATGGGAGAAAGAATGCATCCCCACCCCACCTCAGGACTGTTACGGCCTGAAACCAATTCATTGGTTGAGCCAGTCTAACTCTTTGATTACCTAACGTGGGCTTCCTTACGTACATGGCGTACCTTGTTGTCACGATGGCTTTGTCAATGTATCTTTCTGGAGGGATTAATGCATGCACACTGCTTCCTTTTCCAGGGTCGCAATAAGAGGGCAGGCCACGGTCTTAATGAGTCTGCAGTCTAAACTGTAACACAAATCAGCAAGAAATGGGAAAGGACAACTCAGTGTTGTCCCGTGTGCTTTGGCTTACCTTTTGAAGGAAACCAGTAGAAGCATCACTGGGCGCTTTCTGCAAACCAGTCAGCCAAGTCCTCTTCCAGGCCATTTCATCCACTCCATCACCTCTGTTGCTTTTTCCTGTTTCTTTCTTTTCTGTTTCCTGTTTCTTTCGCAACCGTGAGAGTGCATTTTGTGACCACCCATCACGCACAACGCTCATTGCTCTGTTGCGTCTGTACCCATACTGTGCTTTGCCCCTTTAGTTCCCTCCAGCACCGCAGAAGAACGTACATCTGCGAACACTGGGATTCCCATGAGTCTGACTCCCTCCCACTTCCCAGAGATACCGTTTGGCAACAGCCCTGTTGGTGCCTGGCAGCTGAGTTTGCTCCCGAAGAAAGTGATAATGAAAGTTTAGGGACAGTATGACTAGGATTTCTCAAAACAAGACTGCAATGGAGTCAAATTGGCTCAGGTGTTAAGAATCCAATCCACCATTTGTGCCACACACTGATCTTCCCAATTTGTGTGACTTGCATGGATCACTTTCTTTAGTATTGTTATTCTTGCTGCTATTATTCTGCATACACAAATTTATGGGTGGATTTGTTTCATTCGTATGTATGAAGCAAACATAAACATGTTTTATGCTTCATATTTCATTAAAAAATTGAAAAATACAAAGCACTGGCCCAAATGGCAGATTTACCCCATAGGCTAAAGCATGAAAACACACTTTTTTGAAGGAATTTGCATATATTTGAAGGGATATAGTTTTTCAGGGGAGTGCGAATTTGTGCAAGTTTGCACAAAACCTGATTCTTTCCTTGAGCAGACAATAGAACAGAAGGGAGCTGAAAAGCAGTACAATATAGGCAAAACTTAATCTATATTTTCCACCCACCCCAAGTGGGGTCACCTTCAACACACCACTTGGCTTTGAAAACTTACATGCACCCCACAAAAGCTTCTTGGCATAGTCAAATTCAGCACTGCAATGCGAAGGGTTCAGATTCTGTAACAGTTCAAAGCAAAGCAAGCCGTTCTCTCCCCTCTGCACCCCACACATTTACTGGATATTTTGGAGTGGCTTTTAGTAATTGGCAGCATTCAGAGAGCCCGGGACCCCCCAGTTGCTTGAGCTGCACCCCCCTCTTGGGAATCCAAGCAAGCCCGGTAGAAGTTACAGCACTCGAGTCCTTGCTAAGGACTCGGTAAGGACACGCATGGCTCTCCTGCTCTCATTTAAACGCCAGCTCGCCGTGGGGGGCCCTGGGCCTGGTTTATCAGCATTTCCCCGTCTTCCTTTCTGACTGCATTCCCTTTTGATAAGGCGGCTGCCTGTGATGGATCAGAGGAAATGCTGCTATTTGAATAAGTCACAAAAGGAGGCATGTTGGGCAGGCGGTGGAATTCAAAGTTTTGCGGCCGATTGCTGAGTTCAGCTCTGGAATAAGAGGAGAGATGTCGGCTTGGTCGAATACCTGGGCAGCTGGGGATATTGCTCAAGCTGGTCTCCTTCAGCGTTTTGACTCCACTTCCCATTGTCCCCATCTGGCAGCTAATGAGAGCTGCAGGCAACATCAGGAAAGGGCAGTGTTTGGTGTGGCTGCAATGCATAAAGGATGAGGCAGGAAAGGATTCCTTGCACAGAGATTCACCCCACCCCCATGCTAGCATGATGAGAAATTCGGGGGCTCAAACCTGCTCAGAGCTGCTCACTCTGAGCTGGAAAAATCATCTGGGTTGTTTGTAGCAACTGGAATCTCATTCTGGAGTCAGCTTGTCCTCAGCAGTCATACCCCACCCCTTCCTTCTCTCTTGCCTCACCTACCCGGTCATTTCAGGCCCGTTGGTTACTAGGGAGGGAGAAGAAAGGGAAGGTTTTTGCCTGCTCCTCCACCTGTCTTGGTCATGGCATACTCTGATTGATTGATGTATAATTCCTTTGCATGATGCCCAACAGCCGAGGCTTTCTGGATGGTTAACCAAAGTTAAAAATGCACAAACAAGGGGGGGAAAGCAACAAACGGGGGTGACATGTAGTAGCTGCCCAATCAGTGAGTCCCACCATCCACCAGTGCCCCCAAACTCCCTTTTTTTCTTTGAAAAACTTGTGGTCTGTGAAGGCCACGGAAGCTCCCAGGGATCCAAGTGTAGTTTGTTGCAAGGCGCGTTTGACCTATTGGGTGCTCCAGCGCTGCTGCAGCTCCCGTTAAGAAAGAGGTTTTATTACTGTTTTCACTGGCCTTAAGGGCCACAGCTCTCAGAAGAGGTTTGCAGAGGGGGTGGCTCCTGACCCTCCCGCAGGCAGGTAGGCAGCCTGCCCAGACCTAAATCCAGGTGTATTTCCCCAGGAAACAGAGCTGCCCCAACTTCTCCTGCAGCATTGGGTAGCTTCTTGAGAAAGTATTTCTTCCCAGAGGCTTAACTGAGCCCAGTCCACTGTGGAGCATCCCAGGAGACATTAGAACTGGGTGACAGCTTTCCTTTCTTTCATTACCTGTCCCAATGGCAGGAAGGGAGTTGAGGGGAACAGGTAGAAATCTCCCTTGGCTTGCTTGCACTGCATCACCTGGAGTGCCAAGTCACCCCAGGTGAGCATCTGGAGAAGGTAAGACTGAAGGCTGGCCCAGATGCTCATTCCCCAGGGGATTTACTGCCTCTGAGGAATTCCTTTTCAGTTTTTCTCCTCAGCAGAAAAACCTCTTAAGTCCATCAGCTGTTCCTGTCCTTTTCTTTCAACGCCCCCCTCCGCCGCACCACCACCATTTTTTTAAACTACTGTGGAGCCATTTCAGGAGGGGTAATTTGAAAACTATCAGGAAAATGGAGAGAGAATGGGGCTATTTATCTGCTAATACAGTAGTTGGGGGATGTCTGCTTAATTGCATTTGGAACAAACCGCAATGCTTTCCCCATCTGAATGCAAAGATGCCAACTCAAGCCTGTGTGTTTGTAATAGATTCCCAGGAAAATCTAGTGTGGGAAGGGGTAAAGTTGCTTAAATAGGCCATTTGTTTACAATATAATTAGAAAAAGGTAGTTATTCTGGCTGGTGGTAGAAACTAATATTTGAGAATTGGGTCAGTCGGGGAAAAATTGAATGGAGAGTCGTAAACGTGGGCAGAAGCACAAGCTGTGGAAGAGGGAGTGTTCTAAGGGGGGGGGAAGATGTGCAAAGGGGGGCTGAGAAGTTGCACTTATGCATCTCAACACTGCCCATGCAAAGCTTTTGTTCTGCTTATTCGAGTGAACACCATATGTGGAATTTCCTGGAAGATGCGGTCAGCTGTGAGGGTTTGGAGAACAAGCCCCCTTACTCAGAATCCTCCCCGGATATGAAAGTGACCCAGATTCCAGAATTCAGAGTAAGACTAGAAAGTATCCAGACAAATCCTAGACATGCTGGGGAAATTCCCAGTAAGGGCCTGGAACCTTCCATAGGTCTGGTGAGAATCCAAGGAAAGCTCCCTCTACAATGACCCTCCTTGGAGCTTTTGTGGAAGCTCACAAAATTTTGCATCAGTGCTGGATAAGGAGGGTGCATATTTACGAGAACTCTGTCTACTTTTTGTTCTACTTATGACTCTGGTTTATTTGCCGCTTAGATCATTTCTGAGCCACAGTCGACTGCCCTACCTTCTACTTCCCCATATTTTTCTCTCCATTACTCATTTCTCCCTGTGGCTGCCGCCACTCTCTATCTTTTTCTCATATATTGATTTCACAGGCTACATGCAAGCCGAGTACACATACAGTACATACCTGCACTTCCTCAGGAAGGAACAATAGCATCTGGCTACAGGAGAGCTTGACAGTTCCCGTAAAAGAAATTTATCATACTTCAAGGGGGGAAAAAATTGTTATTGTGTGGCCAGAAAGCAGAACTACCAGAGAGAAGACTAAAACTCTTTCTGCTCCCTGCAGAAGCAAAGTGAGGAATGAAGGGAAGGCTTGGGAGAAACAAGCACATTGGAACAACTTGGTTTTTAGATTGCTAGGCCTCTAAAAGCAAAGAAAGTGCCCTCCTAAGAGAGAGGGAGATGTACCCTCCAGACCTACCAGTGAGCTTCTTGGATGCTGGGAGCTCCAAGGTGAATGTTCTGGAGATGTTCCACAGCTCTCTTGCACCACCAACATGGGGAGAAAAGTTTGCCTTGTCTGGAGCTGGCAGAGTTTGTTTGGCATCAATCTTAGAGAAATGTCCTATGGAAGAGAAAAAAGAAAGGGAGGGAGGAAAGGGGAATGGAGAGATACTTAAGTACATGAAGCCACAGAAAAGACTCCTTTTCTGGTAACCATCCATATTTTTTTTAGAACAGACTCCTAGAGAAGGTCTTTGCTGAGGAACCCAGCTGTATGGGCAGTTTCCCACAGGAGGAAAAGATCCTCCCCGTTTCAAACCATTTAGGGCCTCCTAGGTCAAAAATGTGGTTCTTGTTATGTGCCATCAAGTGGCCTCCAAATTATGGTGACCCCATGAATGAAAACCCTCCAAAATGTTTTCTTCACAACAGCCCCGCTTAGCTATGGCTGAATGTATGGCCGCGGCTTCCTTTGTGGAGTCCGTCCATCTCATATTTGGTCATCTCCTGCCTTCAGCTTTTCCTAGCATGACTGTCTTCTCCAGCAAGTCTTGCCTTCGCATGACATGCCCAAATGTGGTGGCCTCCATTTGGTCAGTTTTGCTCCTAGCAAAAGCTCTGCCTTGATTTGACCTAGAACCCGCTTGCTTGCCTCTCCATTTGCCCAAGAAACTCACTCTCTAAATTGTGCCCAGGCACAAGCAATGTGCACAACACACGCCCAGAACAGGCATTCTAGAAATTGGACTGAACGGGTGGAGATGGGACCGAATGGCCGACATGTCTCTCTGCATTCTTGCCTACGAATCCAAGCCTTCGGTTGGGAAACACACGGTATTAAGCCCTTCTGTTGTTTCCTAATTACCGTCAGGCGTGATTTTAAAGGGTGCTTTTTGTCTTGAACTAGGTGGTAAAACTGTCCGCTTGTGTCTGTGTTGTGCTTCCACCAATTGATTTCCTTTCCCCAATGATTTTATTCCTATTTAAATATGTGCTACAATTTTATGGGACTACTCCGGAGTGCCACCTCCCTCCCTTTCTTCCCCCCCTTAGCTGGAAGTACTGAGCAGGGTGGTAAACACCCGGCCATTAAAAAAAAATAAACACACACCCTACATTCAGCCATCGATTGCTATGAATCATCTCGGGTTTGCAAGTCAAACCGAACAAAACGGAGTCTTTAAAACCCCAAACACCAAGGTCATAAATCACAGGCCTCCGAAGGTCGGACAAGCTAGTGCAAAATGGATTGCGCATCCCAGTGCTGAAAGTGACACTGCTTTCCGGGCACCGGGTCACCTGCCATTTCCGGGCTGCTCTCAGCACACCAGGTGACAATCAAACGCACCCATCCCCCTCTTTCCAGGTTGTTCACAGTATTCCCCCCACCCTAGAGAATGTGGCAAGTTATTACTTGCCGGTAAAGCTGTAAATCTTCCCTTTATTACCTTTTATTATGTTGTTTCAACAGACTCTTAAAGCTAGGAGAGCAACCAATTGATAGCAGCTGTATATTTCAGCCTGTATTATTTTCCCCTTCTTGGATGTTTTGCTTGCTTGCTTGCAAGAGCGCACGCATGCACACACACTTTCCTTTCATGAGACAAATTTTATCGGCTCCTTGTTGAGGGCCTAAACAGTGATGAATCATGGGGAAACAACTCTGGGAGGAGGAGAAATGAGCAGGGTAAACACAGAGCCGGAGTGTCCACTGGATGTCCAATGCACTGTGATGCTACTTGTGACCTGCTTGGGAAGGACCTGAAGGATGGGATATCGGTGGTGTTGCTGAATGGAGGAAATCTTATATCTATAAGCAGATGGCTCCCATTACACAGAAGGTTTTGTTTAAGGTCAGGCAGGGGTTGAGGGGAGACAAGCTGCAGGACCATTTGAATCAAAGAACCCTAACCTATAGCTCAAATGAATCCGATTGTTTGTGGACATTTAAATTCTGCCCCTCGGCAATCCGGAAAAACAGTGTTCAGTGTGCTTTGCTTCATTTAAGAACAAGCTAGCAATGCATCATAAAACAATATAAGGAACAATTAGAGGGAGCTGCCACAGACTTATAAAAGTTGGATAAGCCATTAAGAAGCCCTAACAAGGCAAATGAAGAGCTTTCCTGGAGAGAATAACAAAAACTTAGCTAGGTAGCAGTAGACAGAAATATGGGACTAAACATACTTTCCCGGAGGATGGGAATTTCGCAATCGGGATGCAGGCCTTCTCACATATCCTCACCAACTTAGCCACAGGAATTATCAACGTGCAAAGAAAGATGCACACCCATCTTAGGTGATGGGCAAGACGTCAGGGGAGAAATCGCTCCTTGGGCAACCTGGATCCGGCCCATTGAACTCATTGCAACTACAAGGGGGGTGGCATGCAAACCTGGAAGCTGATTGGAAAACCCCGCAGTGCATATTTCAAGCTATCGCCAAAGCACAAGGTAGGGATCAGCACAGCATACTGATCTCTAATTGGTCTGATGGTTGAATTAAGCAACGCTATCTTGGTGTTGAAATAGGGGCAAGTCAGGCGGCAAATAAGCAACCCTTTGGAGCACCTGTGAGCCTTTCCAGTCTCACCCCTCCTCTGGGGATAAACGATGCTCATATCATGGCCAGCAAGGAATGTGGTGCATGCGATGCCTGAGCAGGGGCATGACAAGGGTATGTGCCCAGAAGTATGTGCCCTGAATCTTTTGAGCTCCACATCTTTTGGGTTGACCCAGCGACATTTTCTGCCTTAACATATGTGTGTGTGAGAGGAAGAGGTTAGGATGATGTGATGTCACAATCCAAGAAGTCCTGCAGAGGCTGTGGGGGCTTTTAAAAGCCTTTACACAGTTTCCCCCTTCCTCTCCCCAAAAAAGCAAGGACAAGCCCTCACCTTACAATTTTAACCCTTCTAAGTTGTATGTAGCTGATGGCTGGAAGGTTTAGGAAGGAAGACCTCCTTCTCACAGTGTACAGTTAAACCATGGAATTCACTGCCACGGGAAGTGGCGACGGTCGCCCATCTGGATGGCTTTCAAGGGGATTGGACAGATTCATGGAGGTGGCGGTGGCTCTCCGTGGCTACTAGCCTTGCGGGCCACGTGCTACCTCCTTCCCCAGAGGCCTGCATTCACCATTTGCTGAGGAGCTGGGCAGGAGGAGGTCTTGCACCAATCCTACTGGAGGCACCCCGCTGGCTTGCTGCTGCGTGTATGGAGTGCTGGACTGGATGGCCCTTCAGCGGGATCCAAGAGGGCGTTTCCTATGTTCTTAAAGACAGGACAGAGGGTAAAATTCCCAAGGGCTTTGTCTTCTGCATTATGAGAGATGGGTGGGACAACTTGCTCCCCTCCCATGAATTCAAGCTGCCCAGTGCATGACATCCTTGTCGGAAGGCTCTGTGTTAGTTGGCTAGGCTGCCGGACAGCCCAGGAAGAGGCATCTGTTAATCTTTGCTTGGCGGCCATGCCAGTTGTTGGGTACCCTTGGGTTTGCCATGACCTCTCAGCCTAACCTACCTCACAGGGTTCTTGTGAGGACAATTCTGTCCTGAGAACTGTGGAGGAAGAGCAGGATTTGGGGAAGGAGAGGTAAAGAAACGGAAAATACTGGACAGAAAACAGTAATCTGATGGAACATGTAGAGAAGACTGGGGGAAGAAAGAGGGAGGGAGGGAGGGAGGGAGGGAGACACACAATTCCACACAACAGTTGGAGGGAAAAATCACCCACTTGGGCTTTAACTCAATCGATCAAAGGCCCATGTGGAATACAGATAAGGAGAAAAAAAGCCTACAAGGGTCTTTGATCGTGTAAATTTGCTGTTAGTGTAGTTTTGATGCTAGATTTGTATTACACAAGTGGAAAATATGTTTTCGAGATGGTTGGTGTATGATTCTTTCAAAGCCTGGTTGCAGAAACACAAAATCAGCTACTAGACAGTTTCTAACTTTGGCCTGGGAGGTGTTTGTTTTCCTCCGAAGGCCAAGCTAACACTAAGAATTTGAAAGCAGGAATTCTTTCTTCATTTGTGTTTTCATTGTCACTTAATGGTAGCTAGGGGCAATCTGGACCCCACGGGAAGGAGGAAGCCGCTTGATCCTACCCTTTCCAACCAGAATCCTGACAAAAATGTCCCTACGTTCCCCTTATTGCTCTTAGTCTGCAAAGGAACAGTGGGTTCCCATTTATGTCAATGGGGGCTCTTCATCACCCTATGGCTAACATCAGATCTTTTCAACAGAACTAGGGCTACATCAAAAAGGGTTAAAACTCTCCCTGCCGTATGCCATGGTTCTGATTTAAAAACTCCCTTGTCAACGCTGCAATTACCTGTTAGAATTCTTAAAGTTTATTCCTGATCTTTTTTACAGCAGGTTTGACTAAATTCCCCCCTTTCGATCTCCCACCCACGTGCCCACCCTTCTCCCAACTCTATGTTTTGTGTTTTTATTTGATGCATGTTGCTTTTTGATATCTAAGACTTATGAAGAAGGGAGAAAGAGGGAGGAGATACACAGCATATGAGATAGAGGATGAAAAGAAGAAGAAAGGAATAGAAAATCGGGTAGTTTTCTATTGATTCTAGTGGTGTGGAATCTTCCGGTTACTGTCATCCACTTGTGAATGGATGGATGTGGGTGTGACACAAACTGGAAATATACTGACTTGCTTATATTTTTCTTGGGGTTCTTATTATAATACCTTTCCTCCTTTTCACAATGCAGAAATAAAGTTGCCAGAAGAATTTTGGGGGATGAATCATTCAGTGAGACGGATTCATCTGCACTGTTAAGCGGAATAGCCCCGTGTGGTGAAAGAAGTCATCCAGTTCCATGCTGGCGAACAGAAAGTTTCACTTGCCCTCTGGAAGCTTGGGATATATAGATATATATAATTAAGTCTTTAGTGGCTACATTTCCAATATATTGTGAAGCAGTTTAGCCCCATGAATCCCATTAAACTTTGAACAGCCCAATCAAGAGCTTGCAGTGAATGGATAATACACCAAGCACTTAAGCACTTAAAATTTTACTCCTCTTTTCCATACAGATGAGAAGTAATGCTTCAGCCCATCAGAAGCAGCCTCCTCAAACTGAACTAAGGTGAAAGGGTAAATATTTGCAGCTTCATCCATGCATCTTGGATCCAGAGGCACAGGTTCATGTTTGGAAAAGAAACCTTACCCCAATGTCAGCAATATTTCCCAGACAAGGAGTAGGCCGAAGTTAGGCTTCTGAGATCCACTTTCTTTTTATTAGAAGTCTTTGCTCCAGCAAGCAAAACCCACTGCAGCAACAACACCACTTAAAATTGAAGAATACTGAGCCTAGGAATTTATTTTGAGTCTCGGAAATGAACAGAGCTTTCATTCTTTCATCATGCATGTACCGTGGGATGCAAGAAGAAAGATGTCTAGCCTGACATCCGTTATACCCACCAAAGCAATTTGGTGCTTTATGCCCCATCTTCTCCAGTGGGTTTATTTTCCTATAGGAGTTTGTTCACTCTGGGGGTGCTATAAGACTAAATCGGGACATTCAAGGTGTGTCTCAGAGGTACCTTTGATGGTACAAGCTGCCACATTATCCTGTTGGAGCAAAGAATGGAGATAAACCTGGTAATTGCTCAACATCAAGCTCTGGTCTTAAAGGGGGTGTTCAGCATGAAGCCTAAATGCTTCATGCTGATGAAATGGTCCTCTTCCCCCTTCTCATCTTTCTTTCCTCTCCACTTATCTTCGCCTGGAGCTGACAGATTAGCATGTGTCCCAAGGAAGATCAATGCATCCTCAGCTATTAAGAAGAAAGAGATGTGCCAAAGGGACATTTGTGATATTCATCCTGGTCTCCACACAGCAAGAGAGAGGTTGGCATCACCTTTGCCTCAGCTGTTAAGGTCACTGGACAGAAGGAAAAGCAAGAAAGAACAGCACCAGGTCTTGGGTAAGAGATTTGTTGGAGATACCAGCAGTGCCCAGAACCTTGAGCATGGGTGACTGATGGTTAGCCTTGAAAGCGTTCTATGGACTTGGCGTCTGACCGAGAACACCACCTGCTAGCACCAGATACACCGTGCTCAACACAGGTAAAAAACTCCTCCTTTCTATGAATCAGTTTCACCTTAACCAGGAACAAAATTAATATGAGCAAGTGAAAATTGGGCCCATATGATCTGGACTCTGTTTGGCTATGAGAACACTGGGATCAACCAAATGTCTCAGATGGAGCGTGCCAGCATGGATAGCTGCTACGGAATTTGATGATACGGTGCTGATTGGTGTGATCAGACCAGATAAAGCAGGCCTGGCTGGTGTGGACATGGTGGTCCACAACTTGACTTGGGGTGGAATGTTGAGGTCCGAATGCTAGTGCACACCAAGGATCAGGATGTCTTGGGCTATCCTTGCTTCTTAAGCATGAGGCCATAATGAAGACCTTGCAAGAACTCAGATACGGGGACGTTTCTTTGTCCATGCTAAAAGCCTAACAATCAGCATGTGAAGCAGAAGCCTGTAGAGTTACTGTCAAGTTTGCCATCGAAGTTCCTGTGCACAATTGTTCCCTGCCTCATGGTGGTGGAGGAGGGAGAGAAGATTACAGGTGAGCCAGGAAGATCAATGCCTTAAACACTCAGTAAACCTCGTGGAAGGGTCTGCAGTGCAGGTTCTCTTTGCAAGAGGTGTCCAAACCTGTTGCTTGTTGTCAACGGTGAAGCTCATGGTAAGCACTGGAGTGATGGCTGACTGGGGCAGGTGTCTACGGACAGGAAAGGGGCTGTTTTCTGCGGGGTTAAGGGAGTCACAGCTTTGTCTACACAGAGCTTTTAACTGATAGCTCCGGGGCTAAGAGGAAATGTAATTGTGTTTGAGCCATTTTGTAGACATTTTTGCAGCTCATCCCTGTGAATTGGGGGCCTGAGTGAAGTCATTAAACCCTAATCAAAAGCAGCTCATCAGAAATCAGTGGGGGATCTCCCAATTAATCGCAGCTGGAGTTCCACGGCCACCAAAAATTGCTGGAGGCTGGGAGGATAAAAGTAATGAAATTAACGGGAGAGCAGAGATGTGACTCGAGTGTGCTGCTGTGTGACTTGATCCTTTCTTCCACTGTACTAACCTGCATTGTGTGGTGTCCAGAAATCCTGGGCAGTTCAGAAGAGCTGAGAAGGGCCCAAGCACAACAGGGCTCTGCCGAAGCTTCCTTTCAACCCATACTAAGCCATCATGACGACGCCACCTACTTGATCCATTGTATCTTCACTTACAGTAGCCTCCCCCACCCTCATGCACACCAGATAAATGGGACCACACATCCAGAAATCCAGACCGTTGACCACATCTAGCTGGGACCGGTGGGAGCTGGAGTCTGAAACACTGGGAGGAAGGCTGTACTAGGGGTGCCACGGCTTACAACAAGGAGGGAAAAGGATGCTCTGGTGGTGGGATGGTGGTCCCAGAAAGCAAAGGCAAAGTAAGAAATGGGCTACATGGATCATTGGCCCATGGAAGTCAGCAAGATCTGGTGGCAGCTTAAAGACACTAGGGCTTGTTTGCTTGCTGCCATTCCTCCTCCTCTTAAGCTTTTCAATCTCCTAAATTTTATTTTTATTTTTCATCACTATTTTTACCTTTTTTCTGTTCAAACTTCCTAGCCTGTCTATTACAACCCACTGCACAAGGCAGCCTAGACACCAGGTCAATGTCTAGTCAGCTTATCCTTCACCTCCGCTGAATCTCAACGGCAAAGCTGTGCCTCTTGTTGCATAAATCTTCCCCCACCTTTCCCACTTGTTCGTTCTTTCTCAGAAATGTTTCCATGACTCTGTTGCACCTCAGGATGCATGATAAAGAAGCTAAATTGAAGTGCATTGGACTGGATCGTGTGTGTCTATAAATTCCCTTCACATTTGATTCATCACCGTTCGAGCTACGTCTGCACCATGCCTGGTTCAGAGACCCACCTCTTACCTATTGCTGTGGCTTTTCCCCACTTGTTAAAGAAAAGAGAATTCCACTTACCTTGCTGAACATGAGGGAACATTATACATACATAACGGCATGCCTATTCTGGCCAACAGAGGATAGGTCCAACCCGAATGGTGCTACACAGTGTGTTGAATAATCCAATCAACGCTGAAAGATGTCTGTGTGCCAGTTACTAGGATCCACAAGCCGAAGGACCCATGAGTAGACAGGACCAACAAGAAGGCCAGAACCACAGGACAAGCCAGGAAGCCAGGTCAAGGTGCGTGCCAGGAATCTAGAAGAAAGAACAAGCAAGGATTCAGAAGTATGGCGGAGCATAGAAATACCTGGTTGCTCAGTCAAGGCTGATCTGGGACAGGAAGATCCCATGCCCCTTCCTGTCCAGCAGAATCAAAGGGCAAACCTTCCTGAGCAGTATCAGGCAAGGACCTGAAGGGACCTCACTGAGAAGCTGCCATTGATAGTCCAGTGGTCCAGCACATGGCGACCCTAGGAATGAATGCCATCTAAAATATCCTGACCTTCACAGCCCAGTGTAGCTCTTGTATATTCAAGGCTGAAGCTTCTGCCTCATCTTCTTCTTCTTCTGCCTTGGACTTTCCCCAGCAAGGTTGCTTTCTCCAGGGAGTCTTCCCTTTTCATAACATGGCCAAAATATGGCTGCCCTACTTTTTTCATTTCTGCTCAGGGGGAAAGTTCTGGCCAGATTTGATCTAGGAGACTCTTGTTTGTCTTTCTGTCAGTCCAGGGTATTTGCAAAACTCTTCTCCTGCGCCACGTCTCAAATGCATCAATCTTCTTTCCTGTCAGCTTTCTCCACTATCCAGCTTTCACACTCATAAATAGTAATCAGTAATACCTGGTTGGACAATACTGGCCTTGGTCTTTGCTTAAATGTTCTTGCACTTGGTGATTGTTTCTAGTTCCTTCATTGCCACCGTTCCATGTCTCTGTCTTCTATTTCTCAGCTACGGCCTCTGTCTGAGTTGATGACTAAGCTTCAAATCATAGAATCGTAGAATTGGAAGGGGTCAGAAGGCCCTGCTGTTGCAGGACAGCAGTTCACACCATCCCACTCAGGTGGCTGCCCAGTTTCTCCTTGAACGTCTCCAGTGTGGGAGAGCCCCCCACCTCTCCAGGCAGCTGGTTCCACTGCCATATTGCTCTGACAGTGAGGAAACTTTTCCTGATGTCCCGCCTGAATCTGGGTTGCTGCAGCTTGAATTGGTTATTCCGTGTCCTACATTCTGGCATCAGCAAGAAGAGATATTGGCCTTCCTCTTTTTAACAGCCTTTGAGGGACTTCTAGAGGGATATCATGTCCCCCCTCAGTCCTCTCTTCTCAAGCCTGAACATGCCCATTTCCCTCAGTCTCTCCTCACAGGGCAGTGTCTCCAAACTGTGGATCATTTTTGTTGCCCTCCACTGGACCCTTTCTAATTTACCTGCATCTTTCTTAAATCTTGATGCCCAGAACTGGACACAGTATTCCAGGTGAGGTCTGACTAGAGAGGAGTACAGAGGAACTATTTGGAAGTAATACTTCTATTAATGCATCCCAAAATAGCATTTGCCCTTTTGGCAGCTGCATCGCATTGTTGGCTCATGTTTAGCCTATTGTTCATAATTACTCCAAGATCTTGTTCTTGTTCAGTTCTGTTGAGCCACGTATTCCCCATCCTGTATCGATGCCTTTGGTTTCTGTTTCTTAAGGTGGAGGACTTGGCACTTGTCCTTACTGAATCTCATTCTGTTGATTTCAGCCCTGTGTTCAAGTTTATCAGCATCACCCCGGATCTTCATGCTGTTTTCTAGGGTGTTTCCTATTCCACCCAGTTTTGTATCATCTGCAAATCTGATTCTCTTTCCTTGTACTTCCTCATCTAAATCATTAATGAAGACGTTGAAGAGCACTGGGCCCAGGACTGAACCCTGCGGCACCCCACTAGCTACTTCCTCCGATTTGAGAAGGTGCTTAGGTACACTGTTCCTTGTTTCCTGGCAATATTGGAAAGGGAAAGCAAGGAGCCTCATCTGTGATCAGTGAAAGGGGGCTCAATGGTAGAGACCCTGATTTTTCCAGATTCAAGCCCTTGCATATCCAGTTATATCCAAAGAGGCAAACACCCTAAAATCCCATAGAGACATTGCCTGTAGGAATGAGCAGTTCCGGGCTGGATAGATCCATAGCACATCTCAAACATACGTAATGGCATGCCCGTTATGTGCAAGGGAGGATAGGTCCAACCAGAATGGTGCCACACACAAGAATACCTAGTGTGTTGAATAATCCAGTCGCAATGCAACGTTCTTGAGGAGCACATCTCCTGGGTGGCCAGCAGGGGCGCTGTTGTCACAGGAAAGAGCCCATACAAGTGACGCTCCAGAAACATTTGACCAACATCTGAAAGGTGTTGCAGCTGCCCCGCTTCTTCCCAGAGTAGCAGCGAAGACGACATCACCCAAGTCTATTTGTGTTCGTGATCCCCGAAGGCCCACAGCTTCCAAAACTTGCTCTGGTGATTTCTGGCTGGGCATAGGCAGAATAAAGCTTGGGGAATGGGTGCAGAGGGGGAGCAACCTGCAATGTATCCAAGCTCCTAGCGGCTGGACACTCTCACATCCTAATCCCATGCACTGCAATGCCAAGCACCCTCGCCTCAAACGCATGTGTTGGATAAAGGGTTAAAGATGTTTAAGCATGATGGAAAGGGTGGAAAATGGAAGCAGAGAGAGGGGCTCTGATACTCACTGCAGCATTTCCCTGCAGGACACTCCTTTTCCTCTCAAACGCACAAGTCCTAAACAAGACTCAGGTAATCAACCATAGCTCTTGGCAAGATTGAATGAGTGTGATTTTTGTATAAATGCTTCAATTATATGTTTCATCCCTTTGGGCTTTTAAAAACCGCTTTCGGCCCACTAAGCCATGCTGGGTCAAAAGCAGGGGATCAATGCCACTTTCTAATCTGAAAGGCTAGCACATGGTTCTCCTCGTTAACATTTCCTTCCCATTAGTGAGAATAATAGTGCAGGGCCCAAATACAGCCTTCATTGAACCACTGGGGAAGAATGGAAATGCTTTGCTCAGCACATGGCCCTGGGCCAGGAACCACCTGGAAAACCAGATAAGGTTGTAAAGGGAGGGATTGCGGGTGGTACAGAGGCATGGATTTTAAGTCAAGACACTGGGAAAAGGAAGGACTCGGTTTGCAGGGGATGCCGTACGAGGCGAGACTGAGGGAACTGGGTCTCTTCAGCCTGGCGAAGAGGAGACTCAGGGGGGATCTGTTGGCGACATACAGGTATGTGAGGGGGTGTCACACGGAGATGGGTAGAGGCCTGTTCTCCCCTGCAGAGGAAGGCAGGATGCACTCCAATGGAGCAAAGCTCAGGGAGCCAAGGTTCCATTTGGATGCCAGGAAGCACTTCCTGACAGTCAGGACCCCGAGGGTGTGGAATGGGCTTCCACGAGAGGTCGTTGAGGCACCATCGGTGTGGGTGGTCAAGGTTAGGCTGGACATGCACACGGTGGGCATGTCATGAGCGGAGCCGACTGGAGCTGGGAATCAGACTAGAAGGCCCGGGAGACCCCTTCTGACTCACTCAGTTTCTATGTTTTTATGTAATGTTGCTAAAACAGTAGCTAGAAGAGCAGCTCCGAGGCCCTGGGAACGTGGCTGCAAAGTGACTGCTTGTCACAATGAATGCACATTTCCTCCAGTGTCAGAGAAAGCGTGCCTCTCAATATCAGTTCCTGTGGAACATGGACAGGAAGGTGCTCTCATGCCCGGTTTGTGGGCTTCCTTTTGGTCCACCTGCTGGCCATTGTAGGAGCAGAATGTCCGGTGGGCCCCTGGCCTGAGGTTCTGCTGATGTTCAAGGAACTGGTGGTGATTTGGTGGACGATCACATCTGCTGACCTTTTGTAGGATGCTCTGCCCATGTGTTAATGGGGCAATCCAAGAGACTAAAGGGTTGGACAATCTTCACAATGAGGACACATGAAAGCCTTCTCTGGATTCCATGCAGAGGAATGGAAAGCACTGCTGAACCCTTGGAATCTCAAGTTGGTGAATTCTCTTCTGGAGCCAATCCGTCTCATAAATGGTCTTCCTCCTTCAGCCTCTCCTTTTCCCTACCAAGATTGTCTTCTCTGGGGTATCTTGTCTTCTCATGATGCACCTAAAGTATGACAGCTTGATTTGAGCCAGGATCCAGTTATTCTTCTTTCTGCTGGACAATAGTGCTTTGAACACATCTATTTTCCTCCTTCAAGGCCTAGAGTAGAGTGCTACTCTGATATGGAATTCAAACCTCTTAACACCTCTGAACTCAAAACTGTTTCTCATAGTCAAGGTTCTCCACCTCTTCGTCTGTTCCAAGCCTTTCTCTGCACTCTTTCCAGTTTTGATAACCTCTTAGAGATGAAGTCACCAGATCTGTAAGAAGCGTTCCAAATGCTGTGGCTGCACAATAGAATTTTGTAAAAAGACATTTTTACAGTATTTGCTTTTATTTCATTTTTAGTCCGAAGCAGAGAATTCCATATCTTCCATGTAGCCTGAAGTGCCTGATCCTACCTAATCTTGGAAGCTAAGCAGAGCCAGGCCTGGTCAGAAGTGGGATGGGTGACCTGAGTGTATGATTCTATGATTATTGCTGTAAACTGCCCAGACAGCTTTGGCTATAGGCACAACAACAATAAAATATTAATATACATGTGCATTTGGGTGTACATACTAGAAATGTTGGAGAAATCCACAATGGATTAAAACAAGTTTAATTTTAAACATGCATATGGTAGTCATATCTTGAGTGGAGCCAGCTGGAGGTGGGGGTCAGACTAGATGGCCCAGGAGACCCCTTCTGACTCACACTGTTTCTTTGTTCTATGTTTCTATGAATTTGCCTTTCCCATTGTTTCAACACTAGTGATGGGGAAAAGAGCATGCTGAAATTCTCCCCACTTTATTTCAACCCTCAGTTTGGTTCTTTGCCTGTCTCATTTGCTGTGTGTGTGTGTTTTGTTTGTTTACCTGAAAGGGTGAAGTGAACATTTTAAAAAACACCTTCTGTTAGCGAAAACATGAAAATGCACTATTTTGAACATGTACAACTTAAAGTACACATCTTAAAGGTGTTAAAAATGCACACTTCTTGTACTGAAGCGGGGAAGTGTGAATACTTTGAAGTATGTCCTTTTGAAAGAGTGTCTTTTTAAGAAGCTTGATTTTTTAAATGCACACTTTAAGGTCAGGGTCCCATCCACTG